GTTTTTAAAGGGGGGATATGTGTTGGACTGTCATGAAGAAGTTCTATTGTTGATGTTGTGACATCATGTGAAGACTATGAAGACTAAAGACTGATTACTTATGATGTTTTTAGTTTAATGGTTGCTGCTGATTTGTATTGTTTAGCCTTTGTGTTATGGTTTTGTTCGATGTATGTACAAAGGTTATGTAAACTAGTTTTAGTCAAAATAAGCCAAATGGGAGATTGTTAATTCTCTAAATTATGTGATTGGCATTATGTTTGGTAAAACTAATATAGCAACAATATGTTACATATGATGTATTAACTTGTTAACAGGAACAAGTTAAGCAAGAAGTCTCATCTTATCTTGAGACATGTTGAGATAAGAAGTTCTCATCATCTGGAGCAACATGTCGAATAAGATGTTCTATGCAGAGTCATACGACATCACGCCTAAGCTGAATGGGAAAGTTGAATTCTATATGATTTAACAGATGCAGAATATTCTGGGAATATTATAGAATATTATGTGGCACTGATTTAAAGGTCAAGAAGAATCAAGTCATAATATTAAAGAATATGCAGTTTCTAAATATGGAGATATTTGAGGAAACTAATGATTGAAGACCTTGTTTGTAGGAGAAGTTACTATTGTTTGTAACAAACAAAGAGCTGTATTTTGAAGGTATAAATCCACTTGGGTATAGGTTATAAATAGAAGCATTATAACCTAAATAAAGGAACCAACCGAGAATCGTAAAGATGTAATCATTAAGGATGAGTATGTTAGCCACTATCTAGGAGAGTTGGTATATGTAAACCACTCGGGTTGTGAGATGGTCATCGTGTTCTCACTCAAAAGCTGTGAAGTAATGAGTTTAGTATTTTTCTTGGAGGAAGCTTTGAAGAAACTCCAAGTTGTGTTCTTAGTCAAGATTCTTGGCTAGGTGTTGTCATGGAAGTGTGTCTTCTGGTTTGTTCAGAATTGTTTTGTTGATCCAATCGCTGTTTGTGATTGAAGAGGGATTGAGGAGGGCCTCATATCTAGGTGAGTCTTAGATAGAAATATAGAAAGGGTAGTGATTAAGTGATTAGGCCGTAAACTGGAGGTTTGCTGTAGGGTTTATGAATTGATACTATCAGAGTGGATTTGTCCCTGGCTTGGTATGCCCTTATAGTATGAAGGTTGTTTTGAACTGGGTTAATAATTTTATGTGTTGTTTATTGCTTTTCAGTACTGTTTTTAATGTTTATACCTTGCCTGTTTTGTTTATGTCAGATCATATGTCACAACATGTCATAGGATATTTGAGTTCTATCATACCAAAATTTCACTATAACTCCATGAGCTTTTGACTAAATGGCACGAGGTTGTGCTTAACAGGAAGATAGATGCAAGATGAACAAAGTTGATGTTGATAAGAAACTGAAATGATGCTTAGAAGTTGCTCAAAAGTGGCCACGAAAGTTTATGTTTGATGCTGATCAAAACATGTCAAGATTTTGATTAAGTGAAACTAATTTTTAGCTTATAAATGCTTGAGTTTCAAAGATGATATCTCGAGATTTAGGGGCCTGATTAAGGAACCTTTGAGGCAAAGTTGTAGAGCAAACTTAATCTACACCTTTGGTGTTGATGAAATCAAAAAATAATGCTTAGATGTTGTCTGAATTTGAGCATGAAAGTGGTATCACGAGACTGCATATATGACTTAGTGAAAAATCACTAAGTCTTGGAATTTTAACAATTGAAATGCCCTATTTTGATCGATCATATCTTTCACAAAAATGATCCACATGAGATAAATTTTATATGGTTGGAAAGGTCTGAGAACAAGGAACAATCTTCATGTTGAATAAAAATTGAATTAAAGCCTTAATCATGGATAAATATGAGCATGAAGTTAATTGAAATTGCATGAGAACTTGCCAAAAATAGTAAGTTCTTAACAACCTTAATTCCAAATTTAGGCAAGTTTGTACACTTCTTGATTTTTGATGAATTTCTTGACATTTCCTGATCAAATCTTAACCACTTACCACATTTGACTTGTAGAACATGATATTGACCTTAAAAAGTCAAGAGTTGACTTTTAGCTTGCACATTTGACCTTTTCCCCAATTCTATTGATTCATTATCATCTGAGCAATTGAATTTCTTCTGAACAAAGTTGAGAGTCAATCCTCCATCCATAGATGCTTAGGAACATGTAGAAGACCATGGAACCAAATTTTGCTAAAAAAGTCAGTGATAGACTGACTTTTACCAAAACCCTAGTTTTCAGTCAGAATGATAGAAGATGATTGCACAACTTTAAAAACTTAGTTTCTATGGCCATGGTGGAGAATTTCTTGAATGGAACAATATTGTATATCAAGAGGATAATCATGATGATGAGATCTTAACCTTCTAGGCCTCTGAATAGTGAACTCTCTTTAATTGAACTAAACACCTTCAAAACCCTAGTTTGATCAGATGGATGTCACTTGCATTTGATGAACGACTTTGTGAATGAGAATCCCTTTTGAATTTTATGTGACCAATGAGAATCCCAACCACTTGCTTGCCTGATGACTTGATCCAAAAGAAAACCCTATGAGGCTTAATCCCATGAGTGTAACAATGAGTATGACCTAATGGTAAGCATGCAAATGCAATGCAATAAGCCAGAAGGAAAGATTGAGGGTAAGACAAATTTGGGGTATGACAAACACCATTAGGATTATTTTGGTTTTACACTCAACATATATGTGACAATGATAGGGTGCAAATTTTCTGACTCTTGCTTGACAAAGTTATCATGTCTAATTGAGCTTTGCATTTACACCGGTTACAACATTTGGTAATCACGTGAATTGTAAACGTTTTGTTATCGTTCATGCATATAATATTCAGACGTTAACTTCCAAAAGTGATGACATCATTCGTCTACATAATATTCACATGTGAACTTATTACTACATAAATTCAAACGCAACAACTTTTATCAATTCTATCTCATTCATGTTCACATGTGAACTTATTACTACATAGATCCAAATGCAATAATTTTTATCAATTATATCTCATTCGTTCCATCTTAACATATACACCAATTATCACCCTTTATATACTATTTTACTATATGAGAATTACATAACACTACTTCAACTTTTTCTTTCAAAATCTATAAACTACATAATTCTTAACAAAAACAATTAGAATTAAGTTTGAACAAGCATGTCATCAAGAAGTGTTCTTATTCATTCTACTCTCATAGACACCTTCACAATTGTTAAAGTATCTACCCAAGTAAGTCTTTAACAATTTTCTTCAACATTCTTATCTTTAAGTTTGATCATTTTTTCCCTATTTTTTAAAGTCATCTTCAGAAATTGATCCAGATTTTGTTAATATGTATCAAAATAACATGAACAAAACATGGACATTCTTAAACAATGAAGGGATTCATCATTTTACTATATATAACAAAGATAACGATCATCCCCTTATAATCAATAGTTGATGTTCTATTGTTGAATACTATACTCCTTGATAATGTTGTTGTTCAAGTATGATATTATGGTGACTATATTTTTGAAATCTAAGACCACAAAACGAAATTGACATACGAACGAGACGACTTTTGTGAATCAAAATATTCAGAACAGGAGATAAAATTCGGTTTAACATTGATGTTAATTTAATAAACAATACATGTTATGTATATAAGGTTCATTCATAAAGACTTATGTTACCATGTTAATTGTCACTTCTTTGCTTAATTAAACCAATGATTAATAACTTTCCACTTCATCTTCGATAACCAATATTTTAGTAGTTTGACTAACCATTATTTAATTTGTTTTACTAACAAATATTATTATTGTTAATATAAAAATTATTATGATTTATTTTAAAACATATTTATATTTTATTTTTTAAACCATTATTTTAAACAAAAAATATAAATATAATAATTTTAAATTCTAACGGATCAATTATATAAAAAACTATTTATTTTGACACTTAACTAATACCAATTTTTTCCAACAAAATAAACGGCGTCGCTGCTCTCAATACATATATAGATATATCTATACTAAATCAATATCGATTTGTTACTAAAAAAGAGCGGTAACACCACTCCCCGTGCTACACACGGGTTACCTACTAATTTAATTGACAAATTCAGAATTTGGACAAAGAATAACTCTCAAACGGATATGTGACAGCAACAAAGGCAGATGCAAAATTATCCTTTCTAGAATCACCAATCTTCTTATATTATAGACTAGTCTTCAATATCAAAAATCACCATCTCGATCAAGGATACGATAAAGCCTTCAAAAAGATCCAACTCCTAAATGGACAATGACATCCTCCACACGAGACACCATATTCCTCATTCCCCTTGATTACCCATATCCCCACCCCACCATCACATTGCTTAAAACATATATAGAACACTCAAACCTAAAGATTATTAAAAAAAACGTCACGTGATCACTACCAACTCTCATAAAAATCTTATATGAGAACTAATCTGAAATACACTCTGACGTGTCTTCCTACGATGACATATTCTTTCACAAAAGATAAACCCTAATACGATGACATATTCTTTCACAAAAGATAAACCCTAATTTCAGAGCGACCCTCAAAATATAGAGAAGGGAATATCAATTTGTTTCTAAACACCAAAATATCTCTTCAAAGAACTTTCCCAAGACACTGACAAACTATCTTTGCTATCGTACCACTTACTTTCACACTTTAAGATGTACCACTTCTACAATACTTTTTTTTAAATGACTTGCATGAAAAATAATTGACAGTAGAATTATATTTAAAATGAATACTATAAAATAGAGAAACCAAAACCCAAAAGTGCAATTAGTTAAAAATAAAAATATAAAAACACAACCAATATCGAGGGTGTAATTGCAAAATCAGAAGTGCGGAGCATTTGGTATTGCTGCGTTCCCCGTTCAGCGTTGATTGAAGCGTATTGGAAGCCATAAGAGTTTCGGTTGAAGATGAAAACCCCTCTTTCCGGTTTCTACAGAAACCCCGTCAAGTTCCGAATGTAAGTTCTAACCATCTCCCATTTATTCATTCTTTTCTTTCTTCAATCACCGGATGAATCAGTAATCACAAACACACAGGCCAACTTCGGAAAATCTCGTACCCATTCGACTCGACATCGAAATCGACGGACATCGATACAAAGATGCCTTCACATGGAACCCTTCAGGTAACCCATTAACAACCATTATTCAATTCTTATTACATGTTTTTAATTATCTTATGTTGGAAATTCACCTGTAGACCCGGATTCTGAAGTTGTGGTGTTTGCTAAAAGGACTGTGAAGGATTTGAAGCTACCTCCTCCTTTTGTTACTCAGATTGCTCAATCCATTCAAGTACATTGTGTTCCTCTTGCTTTACTTTCTAATGAGTTTGATTTTGTGTTGGATTTCATTTGATTTATTTGATGTTGGTTTGATTGATTTTCTCTCTATCAGTCTCAGTTAGCGGAATTTCGATCCTATGAGGGTCAAGATATGTATGCTGGAGAGAAGATTATTCCTATCAAGGTACTGTTTTCTCGTCCATGATGTTTATGTGCTATACTTTAGGCTTAGTTTTGAATTAAACCAACTTCGTATTCGTCTTTTTGTTATTGTCTATGTCATTATCATTTTTCATCATGACGAACATATCATTACTATATCATCCATCTATGGTACACTGGAATCCAAAATAAAAATCTCAAGTCTTTGTCTTGAAATATATAATATGTTTAAAATGATGTAATAGCAATGGCATTGAAAATTACACACATGGTTTTGGAAGACTTGTTTGCAGTTACTCACTACCGTTAAAAAGTTTCTTTACATATACGGGGATGACAGTATAATTTTCAAAGTAGAGGGGAGGGTGTTAAGGTCGAACACATATATACTGATAAACTGAGACTGAATTTTTTCGGTGTCGCTATTGTACTCAATAGAATAAATAGCACAATAATGTGTTAGATTTCTTATAAAAGGCAGTTATGGGCAGTTTTGGGAAGCTATTAGTAGTATTATGTCTGTCATATTGTTAAATTTTAGGAATAAATAGAAAGGAAAGGAGAAACTGATTATGGGATAGTTTTTGCATGTTTTTGGGAGGGAGAGACCAAGCCCTCTAATTCTTGAAGGGAGAGACGAAAGCTCCCGAATTTCTTGGATAAGAATCGTCTTGTAATAGTATATTATTTCTTTCCTTAGTTTATGTGTGAATTACGCATTCTCTCTAGTGTGTGTAAATCTGTTTCTATTGTAAACCAAATCTACCATAAATAAAAGTCAGTTTCGGCAATTAAATTGTAATTTGGTACTGGTTTCTGACAAAATGATGAATGGGAAGTGCCACAAGACTTGAAATTAAATAGGTATGGAATGAATTCCATTTCTGGAAATTTACAGTAAGTACATGGAAGAGTAGAATAGTAGATGAAGGAATCTGGGCAACGAGAGAAATCGTAACAATCACTAATTTCTGCCTATCCAATCTGATCGATTCCATCTGTCCGGCCTTCTCAACAAAATTTGTTGCATTAGATTCCTTGCCTTTTATATTAATATCATTCATGACAACACTCCCATTCAAAGCAGCCTTGAATCTGTTGAAGCTAAACGCGAATTGTTAAATTAGAGTGGATTTTGGGACCAGTAGAAAACCTTGCTCATTTGTTAACAAAGATAATGGTGTATATGCAGAGGAATGATTACTCTTGCAAGGTTTTGATAAGAAAATGCGAAAAACAAGATGTATTTTGCAGCTGGTGGCAGTAACAATTTTATATGCATCTGGTTCAATTTTCTCAATGACTGGGAAAGGACCAAAAATACCATAAACCAAGTTTTTGATTGTGGCTTAGTAACACAGAATGTTGACAATAAGGCTGTAATTTATAGAAATGCGGCTTTTTGTCAGCATGCTTCTTGAGGAATTATTGAGCCTTGGACAGATTGGCTTTAAGTCGGAGCAGTATTTGATCCCTATCAGAGTGCTTCACATGGCTCATACTTGGCCAATGAGTGAGGGAGGATCATGGCCAAACAACTTTGAAAAGAGTCATTCCATTGCTTGTGTATTATACCAATTTTTTTCCCAAGCAACTATTCTTACTCATGCCTTTGGATTATCGCCAGTAAAACAACACAAGTACAGCTCTTAGCATTTGCTAAAACCTCCGATTTTCCATCAATTTGGGGATGACAAGAGGAGGAACTCATAGCTAGGGAAGTGCCACTTAATTTAAACAAGTGTTGCCTAGTTTACTGGTGCAGACTTTGTCTTTATTAGAAACAATACTGTTACAAGAACCATGCCACTTAACTATCAAATTCATGAAATTTTCATCAACCTTACAAACCCGAATAATTGGGGATTTGAGAGGAGCAAAGTGAGAGTACTAAAGAAGCCGATCAATTTTCACCAAAGTAACTTTTTAGCTATTTGATGAATGAAAGGCCTGTGAAAAAAATCTGTAGCAACATCTTCCCACATCTAAAGAAGGGATGCAACAGCTGTTGTAACCCAGCAGGCAGTCTAGTAGAGATCTTAGCTTCTTAACATGTGATTCATTCATAGACAAACTAGTTAATATTAGACTTTCTCTCTCTATTTCCTCTTCTCTCTTCCTGATATTTCGGGTTTGCTTGCCACCTGTCTAGTCTACTCAACCAAATTTGTTGCATTGGATTCCTTGGCCCTTTTGTTTTAATATCATTCATGACAAATGTCTGTAGTTTAAGCATCTCTCAAGGGAGATGAGTGTAATATAGCAGTCATTGAATTCAATATTTGCCTATTGACAAACTTATGTTGTTCTTTTTACAGCTTGATCTTCGTGTAAATCATACGCTTGTAAAGGACCAATTTTTATGGGTAAGATTGCAGGACAAGTACTTTATTATAAGAATTGAACTGTTATCTTCTGATTTACTGCTCATATTTTGTTAGTTCCGCTTGTATGTGTCTAAAATAGTTAAATTCCAGGACTTGAACAACTTCGATAGTGATCCTGAAGAGTTCGCAAGAATCTTCTGCAGAGACATGGGCATTGAGGATCCTGAGGTTGGAGTAAGTACATCTATCTATTGCTAATAATGAATTAATTTGTTGTACTTCCTTGAATTTGTAACAGTATCCATTGTTATGGACATGTTGGATGGAACACTATTGGAACTGCCGGCACCACAAGGCCATGAAAGAATGATGAGGGAAAACCAAAGTTAATCCAACTTTATGTTATTTTATATTTCCTTTCCTAGGAACATAGTAGGATGTCGGTTGTTGGAAAAATTATATTGTCAATGCCTTTTTGCCTGTTCAAACTTGAAACAATATGTTATGTTGATGTTAGAATTAATTTTCATCCATGAAACTCTCTCCCTCTCACATGCATAAACACTCGAGCCTTCTTGAAATTTGAAACATACTAAACACCAAAACACTACTGTTTTGCAGCCAGCTGTTGCCTTTGCCATCAGAGAACAGCTTTATGAGGTCATTCATTCTGTTGATCAATTAGTTTATCATGTCCATGTGTTATTTTATATATATGTGACTCATTTACCATCATCTAATACATTTTCATATTCAGATTGCAATTCAAAGTGTGGTTTCAGCAAGAGAAAGCAGATTAAGCAAGAAGGGTCGTCGAGGGGCTGACTTTACTCCTATCAGGTTTTTCATACACTTCTATCCTAGTTCAGTTGATGTGATCAATGCTGTTTATTATAAATTCAGAGTATATATATGAATCCATAATCTATTATTTAATCGATGTCTCATCTATAATCTTTTGACAGTAAAGGAGGTGCTGTAGCAGTGGACTTGGTCAAGTTATTTGGTATTAAATCAAGTGTTGTTCGGTAAGTGTGTCATCAATTTATGCACTCTTGTTTTCTGAAATTTATAGCTTTACTTATAAAGTTCAAAATGAGAACTTCATATGCTTTGGTTGTTTTGGTTGAATGCATCAGGAAAAGGAAGGAGTGGGACGTATATGAACCGATTGTGGATCTTCTATCCAACGAGGAAGTTGATGTCCTTGAAGCAAAGGAAGAGAGAAATTTCAGGTGAATTGACTCTGTAGTCAGTTATGTCTTGTCTCAAATAGTTCAAAAGAGTGTATATTTTTAATGTTTCAGTTTGAAGTTATTTACATGTATACCAGATAGTTTATAAGACCAAAAATCATTGGTTCAGCATATTGTTATCATTTTCTTTTTGCAGTGTTTCTTCTCTTATATCTTTCTGTACAAACAAAAAACATTAGGCATAAGATCAAGGTTTCATCAAACTGAAGGGATCTCAACTCATAAAATTCGTTTTTAACTTGGGAAAAAGATTGACAAAAATGGTTAAATATTTCTGATCAATGAAATATGACACTGTAGGGGATTCATATCAAATACTACTAATATATAGTCAAACCAAAGGTATTAATTTTGTAAATGAATTAACGAACATTGGTTGGGTATTGAGGAAGAGACTAATCCTAGTAGTAGAATATAGAAGTGATAATTACCGGGCATTATAATGCCTCTAAAATCTAGGACTTTCAGGAAGAGAGGGTTATTCAACCGCATGAAGAGCCCGTGGAATCAATGAATCTGGGTACAGAGGTGGACAAGAAAGAGGTAAAGATCGGAGCAAATCTGGAAGCTAGTGTTAAGCAACGGTTGATTCAGATGCTGCGAGACTACGTGGAGATCTTTGCCTGGTCTTATGAAGATATGCCTGGGTTGGATACCGATATTGTGGTTCACCGTTTGTCTACCAAGGAAGACTGTCCTCCAGGGAAACAAAAAGTTCGCTGAATGCGCCCTGATATGTCTGAGAAAATCAAGGCTGAAGTGATGAAACAATTTGACGTTGGTTTCTAGCAGTTACTTCTTACCCACAGTGGGTGGTCAATGTGGTTCCAGTGCCGAAGAAGGATGATAAAGTTCGAATGTGTGTTGACTATAAGGATCTGAACAAGGCAAGCCCCAAGGATGATTTCCCTCTACCTCATATCGACGTTCTGATTGACAACACTGCACAGCATAAGGTCTTCTCCTTTATGGATGGTTTCTCCGATTATAATCAGATTAAGATGGCTCCCGAAGACATGGAGAAGACAACCTTTGTTACTCAATGGGATACCTTTTGCTACAAAGTCATGCCTTTCGGATTGAAAAATGCTGGGGCAACGTATCAGCGTACCATGGTCGCTTTGTTCCACGACATGATTCATCACGAGATTGAGGTATACGTCGACGACATGATTGCAAGATCTCAGACCGAAGAAGAACATATTGGCCACCTTCAGAAGTTATTTGACAGGTTGAAGTTGTACAAGCTGAGGTTAAACCCGAACAAGTGCACCTTCGGGGTGAGATCTGGCAAGCTGCTAGGTTTCGTCGTTAGCGATAAAGGTATTCAGGTGGATCCCGCAAATGTGAAAGCTATACAGGAAATGCCAGCTCCCCGAACCGAAAAAGAAGTCAGAGGCTATCTGGGACGTCTGAATTACATTGTCCGATTCATCTCGCACCTGACTGCTACTTGTGAGCCAATCTTAAAGTTATTGAAGAAAGATCAAGTGGTAAGATGGAATGATGAATGTCAGGCCGCTTTCGAAAGGATTAAAGAGTATCTCCAAAAGCCACCTATTCTGATGCCTCCAGTTGAAGGGAGACCTTTGATCTTATACTTGACAGTACTCGACAACTCAATGGGGGCATGCATCATGAGTCTTCGAGTAGCTATTGACCTAAGGATTAAGTTTCTAAGTGTCTTCGGAGATTCCGCTCTCGTGATCAGTCATATCAAAGACGAGTGGGATACGAAACACCCTAATCTTATTCCTTACAAGGAGTATGTGTTGACATTACTTCCCCAATTCAAGGAGATAACCTTTGAACACTTCCCTAGAGAGGAGAATCAGTTGGCGGACGCGCTAGCTACGATGTCTTCTATGTTCAAAGTCAATTGGGACAACGAGACTCTCCGGATTATCATTGAAAGGTTGGACGAACCTGCACATTATTGTGACATTGAGACTGAAGAGGTAGCGGATAAACCCTGGTTTCATGAGGTGAAGAGGTATCTTGAAGCTCAGGAATACCCCGAGGGTGCATCTGTTAATGATAAGAAGTTTCTAAAGAGGTTCGCGGCGAAGTTCTTCATCAGCAATGACATCCTTTACAAGCGTAACCATGATTCAACCTTACTGCGATGTGTGGATAAGAACGAGGCAGAAAGGATCATGGTAGATTTACATGAAGGTACTTTCGGAACTCATTCCAGTGGACACACCATGGCAAAGAAAATCCTTCGGGCAGGATATTATTGGTCCACAATGGAAGTCGACTGTTATCAGCATTCTCGAACCTGTCATAAGTGCCAAGTCTATGCTGATAAGGTGCACATACCTCCAGTACCTCTGAGCGTCTTGACAGCTCCGTGGCCTTTTGCAATGTGGGGCATCGACATGATCAGCGAGATCAGACCTACGACATCCAACGGGCATCGTTTCATCCTGGTAGCTATTGATTACTTTACAAAGTGGGTTGAAGCAGCTTCCTTTGTTACTGTAACCAAGAACGTCGTGGCAAGGTTCATTCGGCACAATCTGATCTGTCGATATGGTGTACCAGAGAGGATCATTACGGACAATGGTACAAATCTCAACAATAAGATGATCACTGAGCTCTGCAAGCAGTTCAAGATACAACATCACAACTCTTCTCCCTACCGGCCGAAGATGAATGGGGCTGTGGAAGCGGCTAATAAGAACATCAAGAAGATTGTGCAGAAGATGACAGTGACATACAAGGATTGGCACGAGATGCTACCGTTTGCTCTTCATGGGTACCGTACCTCAGCGCAGACGTCAACAGGGGCAACACCCTATTCCTTGGTATATGGCATGGAGGCAGTCTTGCCCATTGAAGTTCAGATACCCTCTCTTCGGATTATGAAGGATGCAGGTTTGAGCGAAGATGACTGGATACAGACCCGACTTGATCAGCTGAACCTAATCGACGAAAAGAGACTTACTGCTATTTTTCATGGTCAGACGTATCAAAAACGGATGATCAAGACATTTAACAAGAAAGTTAGAAGACTTACTGCTATTTGTCATGGTTAGACGTATAAAAAAGAGATTCCTTAGCGAGAACTTGCATACCTGTTGCTAGGGAAGATTTCGCTTGGGGAAGCCTGATCTTAGTTGAGATTTAGGAACTTGCCTGTACTTCAACTGAGAGAACATCTCTGTTGAGTTTTAAGAACTTGTCCGTAATTCAACTGGGGGGAAGTCTGTCGAGATTTAGAACCTTATCTGTAATTCAACCGAGGATAATTCAGTTGAAATTTAAGAACCGGTCAGTACTTCGACTGAGGAGAATTACTGAGATTTAGAACCTTATCTGTAATTCAATCGAGACTAATTCAGTTGAGATTTAAGAACCGGTCAGTACTTCGACTAAGGGAAACATCTTCATCGAGATCTAGGAACTGTCTGTACTTCAACGGAGTATAATTCTGTTGAGATTTAAGAACTCGTCCACACTTCGACGGAGGAACTTTGCCGAGATTTAGAACCATATCTGTAATTCAATCGAGAATAATTCAATTGAGATTTAAGAACCGGTCAGTACTTCGACTGAGGGAAACATCTTCCTCGAGATCTAGGACTGTCTGTTACTTCAACGGAGGATAATTTTGTTGAGATTTAAGAACTCGTCCACACTTCGACGGAGAAAAATTGTCGAGATTTAGAACCTTATCTGTAATTCAACCGAGAATAATTCAGTTGAGATTTAAGAACCGATCAGTACTTCGACTGAGGGAAACATCTTCGTCGAGATCTAGGAACTGTCTGTACTTCAACGGAGAATAATTCTGTTGAGATTTAAGAACTCGTCCACACTTCGACGGAGGAAAATTGTCGAGATTTAGAACCTTATCTGTAATTTAACCGAGAATAATTCAGTTGAGATTTAAGAATCGGTCAGTACTTCGACTGAGGGAAACATCTTCATCAAGATCTAAGAACTGTCTGTACTTCAACGGAGAATAATTCTGTTGAGATTTAAGAACTCGTCCACACTTCGACGGAGGAAAATTGTTGAGATTTAGAACCTTATCTGTAATTCAACCGAGAATAATTCAGTTGAGATTTAAGAACCGGTCAGTACTTCGACTGAGGGAAACATCTTCATCAAGATCTAGGAACTGTCTGTACTTCAACGGAGAATAATTCTGTTGAGATTTAAGAACTCGTCCACACTTCGACGGAGGAAAATTGTCGAGATTTAGAACCTTATCTGTAATTCAACCGAGAATAATTCAGTTGAGATTTAAGAACCGGTCAGTACTTCGACTGAGGGAAACATCTTCATCAAGATCTAGGAACTGTTTGTACTTCAACGGAGAATAATTCTGTTGAGATTTAAGAACTCGTCCACACTTCGACGAAGGAAAATTGTCGAGATTTAGAACCTTATCTGTAATTCAACCGAGAATAATTCAGTTGAGATTTAAGAATCGGTAAGTACTTCGACTGAGCTGAGAACTTAACTGCATCTTTCCTGAAAGGTAAAGGTCAGTCGTATGCAATGCATGATATATATCAAGCAATGATGTTCTCAAAGTAAATGAGATTGTGTTGTATGATGCGTATATGCATGTATCATGATGTATGGAAATGTAATGTTTTGAGCTGGGAAAATAAATCTCGGATAACTGTTGGAGAAAAGAGTTGAATTCTTCGTTTCTGCTGGAGATAGTGAACAACGATGATTGCGAGAATAAACCTGCAGGAGAGGATAACTCCGTTGGGGAATAAATTGATGAGGAGATTACTCTGTGGGGAAGAGATGCTCTACTGAGGATTCCACCGATAATTCTGCCGGGGATGAATTATCGTTGCTGGTGATACTGAATCCTGTTGGGGATTGACTTCTTTGCGAAAGGGAAGAACTCCGCTGGGGATGATCTTTCAGTTGTGACTTCGCTGGGGATAACCTTTTAGACTCTAATGGGGATAGTCCTTTGAGCTCTGTTGGGGACAATCTTTCAGAGTCTAC